AAAAAAACAAATACCTTGCTATATCTATGATTATGCCTAATATAACTCAACTATCTTGCACACAAACAGAAACACAGTAATTCCTTTCCCTAGAATACAAGGTTGTGTTTTTCTATGGGTGTTTACTTCTCTTCTGACATTCCATAGTCTAAATATTATAATGTAGACTTAACAAGATCTAAGTACCCATGTTATGTCAATCAATATTATACTATAAAGACAAGAAACAAACATCTACCTAATATATAGTTATATATGCACAAACATGTTAACAAAACAAAATAAGTATGGTTATAATTACAATTCTGGATTCAGTAACTGCTCTTGTGGTCATAGATAGTATTGAGGTCATCTTCTGTTACCAAGTCTCTCTTTTCTTAACTTTTAGCAAGCACCTCAGTGAGTCTTAGCTGTACACTGAGTGGGGTAACCTATATCTTCCTTCTTTTATATTTCATATAAAGTATTGAAATACTTAGAGTGTGTGTGTGTGTGTGTGTGTGTGTGTGTGTGTGTATGAAGATGGAATGAATAAAGGAGGACTATGATCATTGTTTTAATAATGATTTAAGTTTTTACTGGAGTTAAGAATTTCATATCCAGTACTTCAGAAAAGGGAAATCTTTTCTGAAATTGCACCTTGATTTTAATTCTTTCAGCTTTTTCTTAAACTACATCTGAGCCTCTGAAGTCTTTTTTTTCCCTTTTCTAATTGTTAAGCTTTTTAAACTTAACACATAAAACATAATAGTCAGAAATGTCTGAAAAATGTAATAAAGAGTGTAAACCACAAGATTTACACTATTACACTACTATAGTAATAGTGTAAACTATGATTTCAAAGAATTTCTCCAATTTCCTATCTCTTACAAGCAGAGGACTCTAGCATAGTTACAGAAAGAGCTTTCCAAAATATGGGATAATGACAAAAGAAACATAAAATTGTACCAACATGAGTTTTATTTTTTGGTACTTTATTTTTTAACTTTTTTTCATTACTCTACTTTTACAGTACTTAAATAATTACATTCATTTTGGAACATTGGTACATACACATGTCACATCTTGTTCATTTTATTCCCTCTTCAACAGTCTGTCCATCCTTTGTACTATCTTCTTCCTATCTCCAAAATTCCACCTCCCTCGCTCCCATGACCTCCTTTTTTATCTTACTCTGTAATTTATATTAGATTTTCTTCGTGCAAGACAAAATATGCAAGATTTAACCTTCTGTTTCTTATTTCCTTTAACTGGTATTATGGTCTCAAAATTCTGCATTCATATATTTTATACTAATAACATTTTATTTCCTGTTAATTATAAAAAATAATTCATGCAGAAATAAAATCTTCCTTGAAAATACACCTTTAATATATAATTTAATTTTTTGTGACTTCCAAAACAGTTAAAAGTTTAAAACTGAAATCTAAACATATGTCAGTAACATTTAAATGATGATGTTCACTCTCTTCTTTAGGATAAGGAAACCAAAGTTAGAGCAATTGGTTGTGTTGAGCAAATAAAATACACTGAGGCTAGTAACAGCCAGATGATACAATGCTTTGTTACTGTCTAAATAACATAAACAAAAAATTATAGGGGAAATATTTATTAAACTTCAAAGTGGCATATAAACAAACATCGTAATGCTTTTATTTTTTTCAAAGTTTTAATGATAAACAGCAATGAGACAGTTTCAAATCAAATCGGAAGTACAGTTTCAACAAATAACACACTGCATATATTCTTCTTAGTGGTTAATTGCCATACAAGATGCAGAATTGTTATCCTATTTACAAACACCATTAGAACAAATCATTCTATTCATTAAGAGAATGCAACTATATATCTATCCCAACCACTTTGAATACACAGATACAAAA